TCGAAAATTTCATTCGATTTTAAATCAAAGCTAGATTATTTTAAAGCCAGGAGTTTTGCAACACACTACAACAAAGTCCAACGAGAGTATTTCTCCCATAACAACCATGAAATCATACAGAAGAATATATTCAAATCCTCACCTAAAATGCAAAATAACGTAACATAACTTATCATAATATTACAGGCGCAGGAAAAAAAATATAATAGAAGCCGCTTATATTGAAACAAAATTTATGTTTTGGTATATTTCAAAATGGTTATATATTAGTTACCATACACTCATATTGAAACAAAATTTAAAATTTCATTATAAATTGGTTAAATATTGGATATTACATCTGACAGCGATTTTTGATTTTTGTTTTATGATACGTTGTTTTTCATTTTAGGTGATGAAATATTTATTTAAAATTCACTTAAGAAATTTAAATGTTTCAATTAAAAGAAAAATTGCACACAATACATATGTACATGTCTACATACATATTTTCCAACAATCTAGAAATAGTTATATGACTCCCTTGACTGCTTGATTATATGTCCATATGTATACATACATATATCCCTAAACAAATATAGATATTGTGAATAGACGAAGTTAATATTTATTCGAGTGCGCGTAACAAAACACAGCTGTTCTCCGGCCAACTTAATTACTTTCCAATAAACATTTATGTATTTATTTATTTGCGGCGATCTGGCACGTATTCGTGGAATTGAACTGGCTAACAATATTGGTATGCGATGGATATACGAGTGGGAAAATATGGCTGTGGAAATTATTGCATTTTCAATGAATATTATGCAAAATCTAACTAACGAGCATTTGACAGTTACGGAAACAAAGCAAGAAAAATAAAGTTGTTACCAATGTTAGTGAAAAGCTTAAATAATATAAATAACATCAAAAAAATCCCAATATATCACTTCAAATCATGGTATAAAGTTCTCTTATTCTCATTTACTTTAAATAATTTTTTGATGCTTTTGTTTGGCATAAAATAAAATGGTGGGCCACTTAAAAAGATATAGGGATATAGTAGAATCGTAGGAGTGAAAATAAAAAATATAATGAAAACTTTCGTTCATGTATCGATACCATTGCATTGTAACAATCTACTGCATATAAACCAGACCAGTTGAATGTTCGATTAACACATTTCTAAACTCGGCAAATCAAAGTTATTGACTTGTAATACATACAGCAAGATTAAATTAATGAATAAGTAACTTTTAATATCGGAAACAATACTGAAATATTCTACACGGTTAGGGTATCTAAAATCAGGGTTTGCAGTATGGCTACCATAAACAATTTAGGTACGTGGGAGCTTTTGCATTACCAAGCGAAGCGATTTATCGATTGTACACAGTTTATACTAGTTGCTTTCTTTCATTTGATACTCTCTGAGCTTTGAAGAATTAAAAAGATGCATTATAAACCTACAGCGCATTTTAGGAATCAGTTTCACTTGTAAGTTCAAAGAGATCTCAATTTAAGAGTTTCCTGATTGGTGTTTATAATTGTAATATATACAGAAACTAAAAAGCAACCGTTGTGAAACCGTTTAAGCGTGTAGGTGGTATTTATATTACAAAGCAATCCAATTCGGTTTTAACAGTTTATACTAGTTGTTTGTTCGTCTTGTTTCTCTCTACGTTTTGAATAATGAAAAAGAGCTATTCAGTAATATCTTTCAGGAATGCAGTTTTGGTAGCTAATTAAAATAATAAGAATTTCATTTAAAAGCCTCAAAAAATTTTGTTTTAGAAACCGGAAAAGATACTAGAATAAAAAAAAATATTGATCACCTAGGAGGTACGTGTGTTTTGAAGGAAATCGATTTATCGATTATACCAGTCTTTATTCCAGTTTTAATACCAGCTGATACCACTTTATAGCAGTTGCTCGATGAAATAAATAGAGCTATGACAAATTAACAGTATCTTTTACGAAGTGTGTTTTGGCTGCTAAACTGTAGGCGCCGTCAAAATAGCTTTATTAAACAGCAAATGTGATGGAAAGTTAAAACAAATCTTACAATCGGCTTATTAGACTGCTAATTAGACAGTAGTTAGCGAAAACAATTCTTAAATAAACAAATTTGCCGATCACTTGTTTACTTTGGAAGTAGCCGCTGGGTATTTGTAATTACTAACAGTAAGAATTACTCATAGAAAAGTTGATAAAATTAATATGAAATTAAGGAATATAAAACTTTATGAGGTTGTAACCACCCGCTAGCAATTTAGTCTGGCGCTAACAGCTATTTATACTATATTATTTTCATGCTAATTTTTTCTGTAGATAATTGATATTGTTTATGCTAGTTTGTCATTTTGCGGAAATCGTTTGCGTTTGAAAGTGCGATAGTATACTTATTTTACAAACAAGAATTTGAAAATTAGCTCTTCACTTTATACATTGCTTTAAATAATTGGAGTTTCTAGAGAATGTAGATGTCGCCCGTGGACATACTTTTAAAAAAGTGATGCTGAAGATTGTATATTGATAAAAAAAATGTTCTCATACACTCAAACACATATTTAATAAAACATTCTTTATTAAAGAAAGAAGCAAATTCCATTTTGTTAAATTATAAATCTTAGGCTTTTTATTATTTAAGTAATTTTTTTATTTACATGAATTGTGCAAATATTGTTTACAGATTGATTGAGTCGCCGCCAATCACGCTCACTGAGCATTCAGTGACTCACTCAGCTGCCTGTCGGCCAGCGAGTGTAAGCCTCAGATGAGCATCAGGTAAGTGGTTTTATTTGATATGTAACATAAATAAAAAAAATTGCAACAATTTGTGACATACAATGAACATTTAATTTATTACAATACATTAAACGTACAAATAAGCGCTTGTACAAGGGTATGTGTGTGTATGTGTGCGCACATTGCCGCAGACATAAAGGTATGTAATCGCTATTTATACACGCGGTTGCCGCCAAGATTTCATTGTGTCCGAATATTTATAACACATTTACCGATATGTCTGGCAAATTTACATAAAGATAAATTTTTAAAAATATGTCTACAATATACACATGCTGGTGATAGATATGTAAATTTGTATTTTTTATCAACATCTCAGCAACATCATTTTTGAATGCAATCAACTCACGACGACGACAAGTCATACAAAGCGCAATTTTCGCGAAATTCAGTTGTAAACCAGACCCAGCTATACGTACATAAATAAACAAATATCTTTGTTTGTATATATGCATTTAACAAAAATCAAATTAACTGGGCGTGTGTGTGTTAGGCATTTATATATTTTATTTATTTATAATGTGTATTTACTTGCCAATTCAAGGGATGTACGAAAGTGTATTTTTATAACATTTGCGAGGCACATGCACATGCACATACAACTATATGTAAGTGCGTGTGGGTGTGCACTTGCAAAAGTACAGCGACAAAATAAGAAGTAAATAAAGCATTTAATGCGATAACGAATTGCCAGGAAGCAGTCGCTCCGCAATCAAATTTTATGAATTCCTTCTTTATTGAATTAATTGTACATTTTTATTTGCAGCATATCCATATATACATATGTATATATTAATGTATATTGTGTATATCGTTACCTAAAATTCAAAACAACGTACCTTAAAAAAGAAATCGAAAATTGCTGTCAAATATAATAACCAATATATAACCATTTATAAACTTAACTCAATTTTGTTTCAGGATGATAACCAAAATATGTATAACCATCCAACCAAACTGAAATTTTGTTTCAATATGAGTGCATGATACGATACGACGGATTGGGTAGCAGCTCTCATCAAAGTACTTCGATTGTATTCTGAACCTTTTCTTCTGGTCCTCTCTGGTCGATTTTCGAACAAGACAAGCTTCTAATGGATCACTAGTAATTCGTAGCAGTTAGCAGTTTCACCAGGTTCTAGAAGTTCATAGTATACCCTTTTGATTCAACCAAACACGGAGCAGTACCTTTTTATCAAATCGATCTGTTTTGCAGTCGGTGTTGATGATAGTCCCGGGTTAACCCATGATTTTTTCCGTTTAGTTCTTAAAATAAACCCATTTTTCATCGGCTTGGAGTCTTAAAACATACTCACGATTTCACACCTCTAGACTAGAACGCCCGTTAATAACTGCAACTGATCATTAAACTAACAATTTGGCTTTCATCGCTTTTACATTATATCAGTCCAAGTGATTTATACAAGTTGTTTGTTCGATTTGTAGCCAAATTTGGAATAGATTTTATCATATTTTGATAGTCATTGCGTCTGTGACAGTTGTTTAAGCGATTCACCACTATTAAAAGTTTAGAGAATCAAGAGCAAGTGTAAGAAAATTCTTCGAAAATGTTGCCTAGATTTTGGGTAATAGTTATACAAAATATAATTGCATTAAAACTCAGAACAAATTCATAGAATGCAAACCCAATTTATCGTGAGAGTACTGTAAAAAAAAATCAAAAGAAAATGCTCAATCTAACTTAAATGAAATAAATTGCAATAAGTATTTAGTGTCACTACCAAGTATTATATTATCATATTTAATAGGAATTCCAACTGATTACATTACTTACATCACTTATCATTGGCGAAAATTTATGCAGAATAATCGTGTTAGACTGAAAATACTGAGCAATAAATCAAAGTACACAGAGTTGATGTAAAATACTCGGAATAATGTGGCAAGAAGACACTGTCAGAGCTCAAATTCCAATAATATGGTTCATGAATCATTTTCGGTATTATGTGAGCGCTCTTCTCACTTATTGATATTAATTTCAAATATTGAGAAATTTCAAAGAATTGTTGAGTATTTTTTTACTTAAAATGTTTTTGAACTGTTTGAGTATAACATTTTTTTCTTAAATAAAATTTATATATATAATATATAACATACATATATATATCTGTACATAGATAATACAAATTTATTGTTTTTAAATAATAAATAAAAATTACATGACAGAAAGAGAGAGTTTAGTTAGTAGTTTACAATGGAGTTAAGATTTTTTTCCACAGTTTCGCAATTTCTTCTCCCATTTTCAGATTCCGTGAAACTTCAAAAATAGTGATAGCTATAAATGCTATTTAACTCCAATAGTTAATTTAAGTTAACTTAAGTTTAGTTTAACTTAAGGGGATATATCCATATGTGGAGTCCAAAAGGTCGATATTTTTGTAGCCATTATTGAGAAAAGCTTCGATTTTTTAATTGAATTTAATGCCATTATGCACTCCACTTTTTTGCATATAAAATACTTTTTTGGGGAACGCGTTAGCTAAAATTTCGACTAGTTCATCATTGGCCGTATTCAGCTATTGAAAATATTTTTAGTTTTTGGATTTGCTCAAATTTTAAGCAGCAACATCTTCCCCACTGCCAGAGACATGTTTTTTTTAAAGTCTTCTTGGAGATCGGCTACGAGAACAAGGGTATCCAAAGCTTTTTAAAACGAAACACCGATTATTAAAGTAGTGTAATTTCTGCAAAGGTTTAGTTATTTTTATTAATTTTATAAATGTTCTAAGAATTCCGTTTTTCAAATTTTAGGACGAACTGTGATGTTAAAACGGCCAAATATTGCTTATATTTTCATGAAGTCTTATAATTTGCATGTTATGTTTGTTAACATTTTTTTTTAATAATCGTTTTGTTTTTTGAATAATTTTATGAGATGTATGTATGCATGTATAATAATTTAATTGTTAATCGAAGGCAGAGGAAAGTGTAAAGAGTTCGATTAGGTAAGGTTATACTGCAGTATTTGTCATGTAGGACGTCAACGCGTATGCGAATTTTAAGTGCGGTCCATCTAACTAACTAATACTAACTAATAGTCCATTAGTTGTTAATAAAATTACTTAAGGAGTTGCTATCAAGAAACTATTGACATATGTATATAATACGAAAAAACAATATTTATAAAGCATGCAGACGACTATATTTCGATCAATTTCTATACAGCAAGAATAAAATATTTTAAATACACTTCACATATACATACGCAGCTAATATTATTTGTATATATGTAGTCTCTATATATTTGTATTAATACAATGAATTTGGATTCAACTTTTTATATATTATAGGTATATGGTATGTAGGCATGAAAGTATACATATTTATTATACTGAATCACCGACGTGTCAATCATTTTAATTGCAATTACATACAAAGCTAGAGTGAACTTATTAGTATATACTGGTATTAGGGTGAGTCGAAAGATTTTTTTTATATTTATTTTTATACACATATTAGGATGGGAATTAAGATTTTTACCTTCTTCATTTAGATAACGAGAAAAATTCGTTAATGAAATTGAATTTTTTTTCACCCACCCTAATGCATATATGTGTTGATATTTTATTGTGTGCATTCAACATTGCGAGATAAATTTATAATGCAAGAAAGATATTTTCATTCATGCAACGGTTAATAAATAAATATTTAGCAATGAATAGAGAATTGAAAGAGCCAATAGACATTTAGTGAAAAATTCGAGTGCATGAATATGTAAGGCGGCAGTGAACTGCAAATATTTAGGCAAACAATTACACATACCTGCAAGTATATATATTATGCATATATATATATATATATATAGATAAATGCATATGTTTATTTAGTGTATAAAAGCGCAAGTTAATCTCTTTTCTGCTAGAATAATTTGTATGCAAATGTGACATTTTAGCAAATCAAAAAGTTTTCGCTTGCCTTCATTCACGCACTGATTGCGGAAAGTAATTTACTTTACAATATAATGCCAACATGTTTTTAGGCATTAATTTGCAATTCCTAGTTTATTAAGAAATTTAAAATTTATTTATAAAATTTATACATTTTGAGTGCCTTAAAGGTGATTTTGATGCATTATAATTTGCATTTGCCGCAGCTACGACGACATTTCCTGTTATTATTTACATTTTTGTTTTTGTTGAAATGTTTTGATTTAAGTATTTGTATTGTAATGTTAAAGTAATGCTGCAAGAAAAATTGAATTATTGTTCGTAATTTCATAGTTTTGTACGTGCTTCTGAAATTATTACACTTAATTCAAGCATGAAATTTTGAAAATATTCTCAAAACTTCAGTTAGTTACTTAGTCAATGATAAAAAAGCGTAAAATGTTGAAAATAATATTTAATTTCATATCTTAAATTTTTTAAATATATTGTTTAAATCAAATGTTTCAATACTATTCGAAGTTTTTCGTAAATAATCCGACAGGGCATGACGTTAGACATTAGTTAAAGCTGTATAAGTAAAACAAATTAGTATTGAACACTTCCTAAAAAATATCAAATTATGATACTTGTCCATTTTTTTTTATTTCTGGACAAATATGGATTCTGGACAAATATGGATTGAATTTAAAAGTAATGTGCCAATTTTTCCACTAACTCACCACAATTTCCGTAAAAATATTTCTATTGTATTTTGGTAACTTACCTAAAAGAAAAGAGAAAATATATATAATTAGCGAGATTATAGTATAAATAAATATTTAAATATGAATAAGTGTTATATAATTTTAGAAACAATTAACTCCAGGTTAAGATGGAATACTATAACTGAGTTTTTTAAACTTTTGTAAATTTTAACATTTAAGGGAAGGTAAATTATTCCAAGATGTCTGAAAATTTTCAAAAGATCGAATAATTTTCATTTTGGAATCCATAGATCAATTAAGACAACTTCCTTTAATAATTTATAACTAACATATCATCTGTATGACCGAATCAGTATGATATTTGGTAGAAGATTTATTTTATCTAATCTTTTACATATATATAAGGGGTGGAAAGTTTTCATATTATTTTTTTGCACTATTGTTTGGTATTTCATCATGGAAAGACTTTGCTGGAACAACGTTTACAAATTGTTGAATTTTGTTACGAAATTACACGTTGTGTGAATAATTTGTTTCGGCCTACTGAGCGAACTATTCGCAACCCCATCACCTATCTTGAGACCCAGCATTCATTATTGGTTAATATTTGACCTCATACACAACGTCTAGCCCAAGGTAAAGAAAATGAGACTGAGAGTGTACACGAAGACCGTGGGTTCGGCGCCGTTCACAGCAACGTGCGCTGACGTATCCAACGGCTTGGTGCATTTTACGCGTAGATCTTAAATTGAAAGCGTACTTGTGCATGAACTGAATTTGCTCGACCTATTGTCTCTTAAAAAGTTCCAAGAAAATCCGACGACCCAAACTTTGTCCAGTGATGAGTCCCATTTCTGCCTTAAAGGGTATGTAAACAAGCAAAATTGCCTCCTTTGATGTGAAGAGCAACCTGAAGAGATTCAAGAGCTGACATTTCGTCCAGAAAAAACAGCTGTTTGGTGTGGTTTGTGGGCCGCTGGAATTATCTATCCATATCAATCTATGGATTTATTGAGGAAACATTTCGGTGAGCAGATAATTTCATATTTTTGGTCGGTCGATTGGCCACCAAGATCGCGTGATATCACACTGTTAGACTTTTTCCTCGGGGGATATGTCAATTCTAAAGTCTAAAGTCTATGCGCATAATTTCCGTACGATTCAGGCCTTGGAGCAAAAGATCACGCGTGTCATTCATCAGTTACCAGTCGAAATGCTCGAAAGAGTCATCGACAATTGGACTCAATGGATGGATCAGCTGAGACGTGGCCGTGGCCAACATTTGAAAGAGCTAATCTTCGGGAAATATATGTCAAAGAATGTTCTGTCGAATGATAACAAACATAAAATTTGAAGCTTTTGTGTTTTGTCTTTCAAAATGTAGGGCACTTCAAACGAGAACACTTTTTATATCAAATAAATAATCATATGTACATATATATCAAAATTGTTATATATTTTTTTATTACTGCATACATTTTAGTTCTGAAAAGTTAAGTTAACTACATTATTCCTTATTACTTATGCTTAAATATTTTGAATTTATTTTTCAATTATTATCAGCATTTATACCCAACATATACCAAATTAGGGGAATAACCTGATTCTTATATTACAATATAATTAAATACACATTTACATGTAAAGAAAATGCATAATTAAACGATATTGAGCAATAACGATTTGATAGCGTGAGTCGAGTGGTTTCATTTCAGGATTTCTAGAAACCAATGGACTTTTATCATCTATTATTACCCAGCTTAGGCTAGCACTCTCTAGATAAGATATCAAACATGTTAACCAGTTTTATACTTGCGTTTGTATATAAGTACATATATATATATACATAAGTACAAGTATATGTATAAATATTAGTTGATATGTATTTGCAATCAAGATTTTCTATTGAATTTTGCAATCGTTATGGCATTTTATACTAGTACTAGCTGTCGACGCAAGCTAAATGGCTGCCATGTCAATTAAGAAGCAATTGGAAAAACTGCACGCAAGCAAAAATAATTACAGATCGATAATTTAGACAATAACTCGCAGGTATGTATATACATATGTCTATGATAGCATATCTCTATGTATATAGATATATGAGTGTTTGATACGTCTGCGATAATTTCTGCAGTATTTTACAATTAGAAACAGCAATTCTCTAAAACCTAAGTGCCTTTCGCATGAGCAATTTAAAATGTGTGATATGAAAGAATGTAGTTAGATTATCTGCATTTTTAATTAGCAAGTTGTAATTGTCGAAGTTATAGTAATCGACATACTGTACATATTATATGTACAAATATCATAAGCATGCAGACGTAAAAACATTTAGCTTCTGCTTTAGGGGAAAAATAGTATGCTCATGCCTTATTTTGGCATCTTAGTCGATTTCTGAGATACATATGCATACATATGTATTACAACCCAGTGAATGCGATGAGAAAAATCCATGACTAGAGCTCGAATTGCTTCCGCATTCTCCAGCTCTGGCCCAGCTACTATGTCCTGTTCTTAAATCTGAAAAAAATGTTTGCTGGGAAGAAATTTTCGTGGAATGGAAAGGTGATTGCCGAAACTGAGGCATATTTTGAAGCAAAGAACAAATCGTAATACAACAAGTCAACAAGTAAGGAAGGGCTAAAAGTGGTAATCGAGATTTCAGGCGTGGTTGCGAATCGATTTCACCCATATTTGGTACATGTCATCAGGGTGTTAAGAAAGAAGAAGAATTATGTACTGAATTTCATTGAAATCGGTCGAGTACTTCCTGAGATATGGTTTTTGGTCCACGCCCATTTTTAATTTAAAAAAAGCCTGGATGCAGCTCCTTCTGACATTTCTTCCGTAAAATTTAGTGTTTCTGACGTTTTTTGTTAGTCGGTTAACGCACTTTTAGTAATTTTCAACATAATCTTTGTATGGGAGGTGGGCGTGGTTATCGTCCGACTTCTTCCATTTTTGAACTGTATATGGAAATGCCTAAAAGAAACGACTCTATACAGTTTAGTTGACATAGCTATAGTAGTTTTCGAGATATGTAYAAAAA